ATTTTATTTATTTATTTGAGAGAGAGAGAGAGTGAGAGAGAGCACAAGCAGGGGGAGTGCCAGAGAGAGAAGCAGACTCCCTGCTGAGCAAGGACTCTATCCCAGGACCCTGGGATGACCTGAGCTGAAGGCAGACGCTCAACCTACTGAGCCACCCAGGTGCCCCTAGTCATTTCTCTGATGAGAGGACTAAGAATGAGAGAGTTCATATCTAAAATTTGAAGGCCCAAAGTCATACAATAAGGACATGCCAGAGTGGGATTCGAATCCAGGACGTTAGGGTTCCTTTAAAGAGCACCATCCCAAACAAGCAGCTTTACTAGAGCTAGAGTTTTAGGGGCTTTGGCATTTGATGAACATCTGGCACAGTGAAGTCCTTAAACTAGGCAATATTTATGTTTTTAATGGACCTTTTTAGAATGCTGAAAATGTTCAATAATTAAAAAGCAATCACACAACAATTCAGCCACTTCAACTATTAAAGGTTATTTAATGTGAGCACATAAGGTAGTAGTGATTTTTTTCTGAAACATACTGCAAAACTTCTTGACAATTGAAAGTCAATACCTAATATTTATTTATTTTTTCTAACATAAGTAATATATATACATAGAATTTAGAGTTAAAGCTACATCTTTCCTGGCTTACTAATTTTAAGTTTATTATTGTACTGTGGAACAATATGCACTGTAGATAATTAAGTTCTGAAATTCAAATAGCTTATAAATTTACATTAATGACATGGATGCAAAGGAAAAGGTTTTCGTAATTTCAAAATATTGTTAGTCATCAATTTGGCAATAGTGGTGTTTTAATGGTAAGCACTTGCGATATTTAGAGAAAAGTAACATTTAAAAACACACATACTTTTACAACTCAGAATTTAGGAATTTTAGATTTTGAAGTGATCAAGGCAAAAATTGTTTATTTACTAACTTAACTTTATTCCAGAAAATATTATAACATTGACAACTTCATAGATTTACTCTGCATATTAGAATATTATTGTCTTTTAAACATTTTTATTAGGAGAATATTTAATTATAGGATTTACTCAATGGAACAGTATCCAATTAATCTTTTTTTTTTTTAAAGATTTTATTTATTTGACACAGAGAGAGAGACATAGCAAGAGAGGGAACATAAGCAGGGGGAGTGAGAGAGGGAGAAGCAGGCCTCCCGTGGAGCAGGAGCCCAATGCGGGGCTCGATCCCAGGACCCTGGGATCATGACCTGAGCCGAAGGCAGACGCTTAACGCCTGAGCCACCCAGGCGCCCCAGTATCCAATTAATCTTAACCATAGGTTTTATTTCTTGGGTTTATTTTGAAATTGAATGTTGTTCCAGCAATATAAAATACTTTTATGTGGCATAAAATTACTTAATGGATATTTAACTACTTCCAAATCTAGTTTTGAATTTTCATGTATTCATAGTAAGATTAAAATAATCTTCATCAATTGAAAAATAATTTTTTTTCCTCTGTTTCACATCATCCATTTCTCTGGTTCTGTTGAATCGCACACACCCATTAGCATGCAAACATAAGGCTATTTCACCAACCTGAAAAAAGGCGAGAGCAAAATCATCAGGCTTCCTCTTGCTCCACACCCCCTTCTAACTACCACCCATGTCTCTGCTTCCCTTGATAATAAAACTCCCCCAGAAGGTACCAGTATTTGTTCTCTTCACTGATTATCCTCCAATCTTCTCTTGACCCCATGCCAATCACTGAAACAGCATCTTCTCTGCTGCCCCTTGTCTGTACTCTCAGAACAGCAGCTAGTGAATCTTGGAAAGTGTAAGTCATATCATGCCATGCCTCCGTTGTGAAGCCTCCAGCGCTTCCTCACTCAGAAAAATAATCTGAATGCCTCAATTTCTGGTCTCATCTCCTACCACTCTCCTCACACATATTTCTTCAACCATGCTTGCTAATTCTTGATCCAGAAACATGCTCCCACCACAGGGCCCTGTGAACAGCATGTTCCCTCTATCTAAAATGCACTCGCCATAGGTATTCTCCTGGCTTACTCCTTCCAGAAGGTTTCCTTGACCATTTATGTCACATGCCTCCTATATTCCAGGAATAGGGTTCGGAGATGAGAAGCAAGAAAGTCCTGGAAAGAGGCACGTGAAGGTGGTATGAGCACAAAACATGCAGATCTATGTCTCAAGTTAATTCCTACAAGAGAGGATCCCCCACAGAGGAAACAGAAAAACCAGGTTGATTGAATGACTCGTCCAGGAGCTTCTCTCTTTGGCTCCCTCAATGCTTGTACAGCGGGCCCAGGAGCAGAGGTGCCACAGGGTGAAGGCTGTGCATGGGTTAACACCATGGACTTTCTTTCACCAAGGCTAAGCTACCCACTGCAGTTGCTGAATAGCTAGCCTGCCAGTAGCAGAGACCAACACTGAGCCCTCAATAGGGGCCATCCCTCAAGAAGTCCACCACTTACTTAGGGACAAGTTGACGGCATGACTCCCCTTCTCTCATTGAAAGAACAGAGATACATTATTGCTGGAACAGATACTGACTCCAGATACAGCTTTTGCCTTCTCCATTCACAGTGCCTGTGTCACTCTGAAACATGTGGGCTAGTAGAATGAGGGAATGGTCTATAAAAGGCAAGCCTAAGATACCAGCTTGGGAACATCTTGCAGGATAGGATGCCGGCCTCCATCATATGCCATATGCCTTGATCCCATGGCAGATACATGCTATTCTTTCCTGATAGACAGAACACATGGAGCTGGAAGTGAACGGTTACTCTCGGTCATTATCACTCCCAGTGATCTGGAAACGGCATCTGTGCTTTCTGTCCTTGCAGTTTTAGATTCTGCTGGATTTGGGTCTGAGTTTCCAGTGAGAGAATGCTTTTGCCAGGGATCCCTATATGGGCTCCCACTGAACTGAAACTACCATCACTAACTGATCAGTTTGAATTCATCAAACATAATTAGTAGCCTACCAGAGATAATCAGTTCTGATGATCATGAAGAGGTAGGGTTGTTTTACCTAATGGAGATAGGGAAGAATATGTCTGGAATTCAGGCTATTCCTGGGGTTATCTCTTGGCTTCCATGTCCAGATGACTGTGAATAGGTAATTATAACAACCATAACCTAACAAGGGTAAAGCAGCTAAGGGCTCAGACCCTCAGGTTGAAGGCTGGTGTTGCTCCATCAGCTTAAGTGCTGGTTAAGGGTAAGGAAATCTACAATGGGTGGTAAAGAGGGGGTATGGTGACTATTCATTATAGCCTCAGGACCAGTTGTATCTTGTCCCACTAACCCTCTTGTATCAAATCTTTAGCAGAGCTTTTGGCTGGTTACCACCTTGGAGACTTGATACTGGATTATATTTAAAATGTGGGGCATGAGCATGTCCATATGGTGTGAGGAGTCAACTGTAAGAGATGCCTTTTATATTCAGCTTCACAGTCTCTTGTTCTCACCTCTAATTCTAGCCACAGCCATGGCAGATAGTCCCCCATAGACTGTGACTCAGTCTATGCTTGCAGCTCTTGCCTTCTGTTCCCATAGCACATCTGTCTACTGTCCCAGTAGACAGGGCTTCACCTATGCAGTGACATGGGACATTGGAACCCCTATGGCATATGGGCATATGTGCAGCCTGAAAGTGCAGGAGAAGCTATTTCACCTGGAGAACCCCCAACTAATGGGGACAGGATTTGATGAAGAAATGTTTGATTCTTTGATTCCGAGAGGAAGCCCATATTTTCCTTGGGAGTTTCCAGCAAGATTGTGCTCCAGCTGTGCTCACAGCCCAGGTTTTCTTTCCTCAGGTCTTATTCTCTTTTCTCCCAAAGGGGTCACTACTCAAATAAATCATATGTTACAAGTCCTCACCTCAGATTTTCCTTTATAGGAACTGAAGGTAAAGATCCCGTCCCTTATAAAATACTGTTCCCCTCATCTACTCTTTCTATCCCATTGGGCCTCCTTTTTTACATAGTAGTCATCCTCAGCAGACATAGCATCTGACGGGGAGGACGGGGAGAGTCTATTTTCTCCAGCCTCCACACCCTACCACTGGAATATAAGCTATTCAGTTCTGCGCCTGGCAAATAATAGGTGCTCAAGCATTACTTTTGTGAAGAAATGAATTGAAAGTGAGTTTTTAAGCTTCCAAAAAGGATTACAATCATAAGGACAAATATAAAATAGGTTAACTGCTTATTTCAGTACTATTCCTTATTATTTATTGATGATTCAATACTGAATGACAATTGTGAGATCTTTGAAAACAGAATTCTAATAATAATTCAGTGTTTTTACTTTTCCAGGTTTTGCTCAAGCAAACCAGTTTAACTATGGAGTTGATAATGCTGAGTTGGGAAACAGTGTGCAATTAGTTTCTTCTTTCCGATCAATTTCTTGTGATGTAGAAAAAGATTCAAGTCATTCAACTCAAATTACGTGCTATACTAGGTATGTTTTATAGTATGTTTATTAAGAGCATTTTTATCATACACATATTAGTATTATATAGTTTTTTATATACTCTGGCCATTATAATATTTTCTGAAGATCAGCTGTTTTTTATTTCATGATGTTTAGACTATTTTATAGCTTTATTATATTCAGTTGTAATGTTCTTTCCACATATTGGCACAATAAAATAAACTCTATATCCTCCCCCAGGTTATTAGAGCTATTATCTTATCATTATTGATCTATTTCAGAAGATAAATGGCTACTATTAAATTGTAATGATGCTCCTCAAAATATCAAAATTATGCTTTCCTGTCCAGTTTGATTAATTTCATTCAAAATCTTGACATTAAGATTAAAGATGATCATTTTGTATAGTGACATTTCAAGTTCTTTACCATCAGTCCAAAATGATGTTTGTTATTAACAACTTACGGGAAAAATTAATCACTTTAAATGGCAACTTTTATTTTATTTTATTTATTTTTTTTTAAGAAATTGTATCTTTGAGCCCTTGGAGACCTTTTTTTTTTTAATATTTTATTTTATTTATTAGAACAAGAGAGAGAGAGAGAGCATGAGAGGGGGGAGGGTCAGAGGGAGAAGCAGACTCCCCGCAGAGCAGGGAGCCTGATATGGGACTCGATCCTGGAGTCCAGGATCATGACCTGAGCCGAAGGCAGTCGCTTAACCGACTGAGCCACCCAGGTGCCCCAAAATGGCAACTTTTAATAATAAAACAGGTGGCACATTTTCCAGAGGATTTCATCTTTATCAAGCTTGTTGGCTGTTTTTCAGCAGCAAAAGCTTTCTTAGAGAGAAATTTGATCAGAACTTTAAAAAAAAAAAAAAAAGCATAACATAACTGTACCAAGGTGATGTATTATTGTTTTAAATGGTTTTTCCTACGTTTGTTATTGCATTTGTTGTCCTTTTCAGTAAGCACCAGTGCACTTAGAATAAGCATTTGCCTGAGGTCCATGATGTTAGAATCTGCAGTACAGAGTTCAAGATGGAGATCCTCCATAATCTAGAATGGAATTCTAATAATTTAGAATTCTAATAATATAGAATGGAATTTAGCTGTACATCAATTAGAATTTTAGACACTTTTTTTTTCAAAAGTGACTTGTAGTCTGGGGCAGTATTTTTCCTTAATAGTATACATTAAATAAAAGGGTCATTGCATTCCTTACATGTTCTCCATTTGCTTTGCAGAGCAATGCCAGAAGATTCCTACACTGTGAGAGTCAGTGTGGATGGGGTTCCTATTACAGAAAGTAATACCTGCAGAGGTCGCATCAACAGCTGGGAATGCACCTTCAATGTATATGGGAATCTCCTCTTTTACTTTTGGATGATCAATCTTGTGCTTGCTTTCTTGCTGAATTGGGCTTTTATTTTTTAATTTTATAGATTGTTACCTATTTCCACACTAAAAATACACTAGCATGTAGCGAAGGGTAACTTCATTCAGTTTTAATTATCTTCTATGGTAGTGGAATCCCTTTTATCATTTCTTGTTTCCCTCTTTAAATTAATTTTATTAATGAATTAAATTTTATACATTAAATTTTTTTCTTGTTCACACTATTTTTTCTCTTTCTCCATTTCTACTCTGAGTTTGATTTTCCTTTTCTTCATTTTCAATAAGATCATAACTACTTTTCTTTTTTTTATAATTTCTAATGCAATGAGATAAAATATGATTGCACATAGCATAGAAGTCATTCAAAATTTAGTTACCCTATATGTAGATATTTACAATAATACATTTCTTCTAAGGACCATCCCATATATTTTTTAAAATTATGTCTGTCTATCAAAAGTATTAGAGTTTCCATCACCCTTGTGGGCTCCCTAGGATTCTCCTCTCTCCCCATTCCTATTTGATGTCACAATTCTTAAGAATTATACTTGCATTGCTCTAGAAAATTATCATTAGCTTCATTACTAAAGCTTACTCTGATGGACTTTTTCCAGGTTTTGCTTCTGTTTTGCAATGTGCTTTGTTATTTCTTCTCCATAGGTTTAAATAAAAGAAGACTTTCTGTAATTTTATTCCCCCAAATTCCTAAAAGTTGTTACGAGAGAGCCTTATTACTAGGGTTTGACTTACCCTGATAACAAAGGAAGATTAGGGCGCCTGGGTGGCTCAGTTGGTTAAGCGACTGCCTTCGGCTCAGGTCATGATCCTGGAGTCCCGGGATCGAGTCCCACATCAGGCTCCC